TTCAGTAAGAATATTTTGTGAAGAACCATCCCTTGAAGTCGAAAGAGAAGAAGCTCGACAGGAAGAAGTCATAGGTGAATCAAGCCCAACATACCACAAAGAACAAGACGCATGACTTTAAGGTTGCACGAATGTGTGATTACATTATATGATATGGTCGATAATGAAGGTGAGATGGTACAATATGCTTTATATACATATGTCAAACCAGTCAAAGTTGTTGAGGCATTGAAGGATTCGAAGTGGGTAAAAGTTATGAATGAGGAATTGAAGTCCATCGAAGTCAATAACACTTGGTAACTTGTCGAGTTACCTTAAGGAAATAAGGAAATCAATGCCAAGTGGGTATACAGGGTGAAGTTGAATCCCATAGGGGAAGTAACTCGACACAAGGCAAGACTTGTGGAAAAAGGATTTCTTCATAAAGAAGGAATCGACTTTGATGAAGTTTTTGCACGTGTTACTAGAATCGAAACAATTAGGTTGGTTGTTGGTCTAGTAAAAATGAACAGTTGGCACATATCACAAATGGATGTGAAATATGGATTCCTAAATGGCCCCTAAGACGAATAAGTTTATGTTGCACAACCAGTTGAGTTTAGGAAACAAGATGAAGAGAGAAAGGTGTACAAGATGCATAAAGCACTGTATGGACTTAAACAAGCTCCAAGAGCTTGGAATAAGAAGATTGATAATTTACTAAGGAATAATGAATTTGTGAAGTGCATAATTGAGCATGGAGTATATAGAAGAAGCAATATTGAATTTCTTATAATATGTCTATATGTCAATGACTTGTTGATAACAGGTAGCTGTAAGAAAGAGATCGAAGACTTCAAAGATGATCTGAGCAAGGAATTTGAAATGTCTGATCTAGGAAACATTTCATATTTCCTTAGCATCAAATTCTACAAAAGTAGTAGAGGTTTGATGATGCATCAAAGAAGATATGCTAGTGAAATTCTCAAGAGATTTGACATGGAAGAATGCAATTCGACTTTGACACCTACTGAATTAAGACTGCGATTGTCGAAATATTAAGATGAAGATGATGTCGACCCAACCCAATACATAAGAATTATTAGGTCACTAAGATACCTTTGTCACACAAGGCCTGACTTAGCATATAATGTAGGTATGGTAAGTAGATTCATGCAGAAGCCAAATGTATCACATCTAGAAGCGATGAAGAAGATACTAAGGTATCTCAAAGTAACTCCCGACTATGGCATTTTATTTCTTGTAGTCAATAAAGGAAGAGATTGCAAGTTAGTGGGATACACTGACTCAAGTTTGTGTAGTGATGTTGAGGATAGAAAATCCACACCTGGTTATAACATTGTTGTCATGTGAAGCAGAGTACATAATTGCTTCCCTCTGTGCATGTCAAGCAACATGGATGGTGAACTTGGTCGAAGAGATTACAAGGAAGGATCATGGAGTAATTACCATGAAGATCGATAGCATGTCAGCTATCAATTTGGCAAAGAATTCGATAGCATATGGTCGAAGCAAGCACATCGAAATGAGGTTCCATTATTTTCGAGCGCATGTAGCTAAAGGGTAGCTGAACTTAGAACACTGCAAAAAGAGAATCAGATTGCATGTATCTTGACGAAACGTGTGCAAATCAACGTGTTTAGAAGACTAAGAGCTATGATGAATGTAAATAACTTAGACATAATGAATTAGGTGGTGTGTTGAGTTTGTAATTCCTTGTGTTGAAGCAACATTTTGCTCGACATAACAAGGGTATATCGAACTTAGCCCAATGTGTGTGTGTGTGTGTGTATGTGTGTGTGTGTGTGTGTGTGTGTGTGTGTGTGTGTGTGTGTGTGCGTGCGTGCGTGCGTGCGTGCGTGCGTGCGTGCGTGCGTGCGTGCGTGCGTGCGTGCGTGCGTGCGTGTGCGTGTGCGTGTGTGTGTGTGTGTGCGTGCGCGTGTGTGCGTGTGTGTGTGTGCGTGTGTGTGTGTGTGTGCGTGTGTGTGTGTGTGTGCGTGTGTGTGTGTGTGTGTGCGTGCGCGTGTGTGCGTGTGTGTGTGTGTGTGTGTGTGTGTGTGTGTGTGTGTGCGTGTGTGTGTGTGTGTGTGTGTGTGTGTGTGTGTGTGTCGTATCGAAGCAGTAAGCTTCACACATTATTTCGATTTAAGTCTAAATAGTTATTTTGGATTTTTTGTATTTGTGGGTTTTGCCTTAAGGAACAAGCAAGCTCATTATAAATAGGGAGTAACTCCTATATTGTAAACAACAAGTATTCATTGAATTTTTGTAGTTGCAAAGTGAATAAGATTTGTTCACAGTTTCTAAACAGAAAGAAACTCTGCAGAAAATCATCATCTTCTTCTACAATTTTGTTAAATCCTATTTCTTTCTTTCATTATTATTGTATATTGAGAACAATTTTGTTTATCAAGATTGATAGAAATTTTTCACATATTTTAGTGGATTTTCAGTCGTTATAATAATTTATTTATTTTTTATTTGTCAAAAAAAATAATTGTTTTAGACTATTTATTTGTTTTCATTTCCTTGGATCTAACACTCCATGCATGCACGATATTATGACTGTATATTATTAATGTTTTACTTTACCATAATATATTGCAAATTAATAAAGTTAAGAGACATCGATCATGTCATACCATGTGTTTTTCCCACCTTTTTCTTGCCTAATATTCCTATTGAACTCAAGGTAAAATCAAAGTTTAAACAGTGCGAATAAGAACTTCAACTAGTAGAGACAATTTTACCAATTTTAACCTTCAACTGTTAACATGATGTTACCAGTTTACCAAAAAGTAAAGCATCTTTGAGCAGAAGAAAATTATTACCCCCATTGACTACATTGCCCTTGAAGGTGACTTTACATCCTCATTATCACCTTTATAAAAAAGCTGCTTCAAGTGAAATTTATGAAGCTCCTGCACAGTCACAAGTATGGGTATTATGGTCTATTAAAAACACATCTATGCAAATATTAAATAGTCATTATTTCATTGAGAATGAGTTGGCACTGTTAAGAAATCACTTTATCAATAAATTATAGTCATTCATGTTACTTTCAATCTACTAAAATTTACAGTACATTACACTATTAAAAAATATATAAAAAAGTTAATTTTTTAAAATAAAATTTAATGTTTTTTTTTTCATGATCATCATAAAATAACTCATTTTTTAGTCTTCAGAAAATCTCCATCTATACAAATTATCTCTACTTTTAGATTAATGTATTGTTAATTAACCAAAATCCACATGACATTGTCACATGCAACTTTTTTAATGACATGAACAACACATCATTAAATTAATAAATTAAATAAAACATTTTAATCAATAATTAATGTGTTCATTCATTTACTATAAAAAAAATTATGTGGTATTGCCACATGGACATATGTTAGTTAACATATTATTAACCTAACAATTGTATAATCCGTGCATCAGAGGAACTTAAGACAACTAAAAAACAAAATATTGAAGGTGTGTAAAAGTGAAAAAATATTTTACCCAATATAAAAATGCAATAGATTTTTTTCAACTTTTTTATATGCCAGAAACACAAAATTGTAAATAGTGTATTTGATTTGGTGGTGAAAAAATTGATTTTTCAAAATAGTTTAGAATTAGAAGTAAATTTAATGTTAAAATAGTAAATAAATATTTGTTATTTGAGTTAAACAAATGTAAGTTGATGATTTTAATTTGTTATTTGTTATCATATATTAATGCAAATAAATTATTGATATTTATAAATTAATAAATTTAAAATAAAATAAAAATTTCATGTTTAAAATAAAATAAAAATTTCATGTTTAAAATAAAATTTCAAATTCTATTTAAAAAACTTGAAAACAACTAAACATTTCAAAGTGCCTCGAGAAAATCATTTTTGGATGAATTTTACACATATAAAAAATTATCTAAAATTTTGGGTCAATTATAATTAGATTCAATTTTGGATATCTTATTCTAAATTTATTTTATTTATTTGAGTATATATTGACCAATAAATTAATAATAAAAATTAATAAATCATAATTATAATACTTTCCTTAATACTATATAATATTGTAAAATAATAAATTTTATACAAAATACAATATAGAATATATAGTGTATTAAAAATTAATATTACTGAATAAAATGATCAAATATTTTTTAAATTTATGAAAAAGTAAAAAAAAAAAATTAGTTTATAAATCTATTGGAAAAAAACTAGTGTAATATATCATATTAAGAAAAAAATAAAAAAGTAATTATATATATTTACACACACAAATATATAATGATAAGAATATTTAATTTTTGCAATTTAAATTAATAAAATTAATTTATGATTTTAATTTTTAGTTTAGATGAATTGGTTTGAACCTCAAATCTATAATAATGTAAGTGATATTGAAGAGAGAGAATAGGAAGCTTACGTGTGTATTGGGGGGCTTGGCCAGTATTTATGCATGCAAAGCAAAAATTTACAGTGTAAAGAAATAATGAAAGTTTTTTGTTTCCTTGTGGGGATATTTCCTTTTTAATTTCTCCATGGAGCCCATTTGTGTGGGATCAAGTTTCGAGCTTTCTCATTGGGTCACTCTCTTTTTCAAACTTCTTCACTCAGGGCTATTACAGACAATCACTTCTCAATATCAATGTTCGAATCATACATATACATTATCAACCCCGAGAGAGAGAAAAAAAATAAATAATAAATAAATAAAAACTATTAAATGTAAAAGTTGATTTTTCAAAAATATTAAATAATAAAGCTGAAAGTTTAAAAGCAAGTTAAAAGAAAGCTGAGAGGATACCGAAAGGAACATAGAAAGAAAGAGCTTTTGTTTTTCTTTCTTCTTCTTCTCCTTCTCTTTCTTTTCTTCTCTCTTTCATTCATCTCTTCTTTCATTATAGCCTCAAAATATAGCTACTGTATACTTATAGGCTATTCTATATCATATACAATAAAATATCCAAATTTCTTTGCTTTAGTCAGTTTAATTGTCATGCTAGCTAACAGCTTATCTCCTTCTTCACTTCCATCTTCGGAGCCTTTTTCTTGCAATGAAAATGGTACTTCTTCCAATAATAAAAGAAAAAGAAGACCCGCCGGAACACCAGGTTCGATTTCATCTCCTCCAAAATTATATTTCTCGTTGTATTGAGTTGAAATATCCTTCTTATTTCAAAACTCGGAAAAAACTGGACTAGAATTTTCGTACCAGAGTGCTGAGTATTCTATTACGGAAACTCTGGTCCAGAAATAAAAAATCTTTTATCATATGTTTTTTTAATTAATATTTTTTATTAAAATAAAAATTATATGGATGAAGGAATTTATATATATTATATGTATGAATTTGAATATTATTTATGTAATTAAGTAAGTATAATTTTTTATAGTTAATTATTTGATTTGATTCTCATGCTAATGCTTATGCTAATAAAAATTATAAATTTGTATTGGTTGGAATAGATCCAGATGCAGAAGTGGTGTCTCTCTCACCGAAAACATTATTGGAATCAGATCGATATGTATGTGAGATCTGCAACCAAGGATTCCAAAGGGACCAAAATTTGCAGATGCATAGAAGAAGGCATAAAGTACCATGGAAGTTACTCAAGAGAGAAACACCAGTTGTTAGAAAAAGAGTTTTCGTTTGTCCTGAACCAACTTGTTTGCACCATGATCCTTGCCATGCTCTAGGTGATCTTGTGGGAATTAAGAAACACTTTAGAAGAAAACATAGTAATCATAAACAATGGGTTTGTGAAAGATGTTCCAAAGGTTATGCAGTGCAATCTGATTATAAAGCTCATCTCAAAACTTGTGGTACTAGAGGTCATTCTTGTGATTGCGGTCGTGTATTCTCAAGGTAATTCGGTCGATAATTCATTAATTCATAATCTCTCTTTCGAATCATATCTTTGTTTTTATCTTTCGATTCATCTGGACTATCCAAAAACTCAAAAACAGATATAAAATTCAATTTTTTCCTTTATTTATAATTTTATATATTTAAATATATAATTGTTCGTTCGAGTTTTCTGAATTATCCTAAACCTCGTGAGCAGATGAATTAATTATTTTAATTATTTTTTAAAAAATATATGTATTATTGACATTTCTTTTCTATAATTGATTCTTGATTCATAAAATTGTTTTGAGAAAATAGATCTAGCTATAAATGGATTTTTTTTGAGAATTTTGCTTTGTACTTTATTGGAAAGGAAACAAATAATTTTCTTAATATTTTTTGTTGATAACTTTGCACATTGTCTAATGATTATAATTAAATTGTGGAAAACTTGGCAAGTAAATTGTTTTACTTAGATTTGACTTTAAAAAAAAGGAGATATGTTTTTTGGAAGAAAATATAAAGTAAGAAAAATGGAAGATAATTAAAAAAAAAAAAAGTTTTCAGATATATATTTGATTGATGGAACCTTAATAAAAAAAATCTCTTTTATTTTTTTTAACAAGATGACACTGTTCATTGACAGTTGAAGAACACACTTCCCAATGCTCCGTTGTCCGTTGGTTTTTATAACCGTTTTGTGTTTTCTTCAAAACTCATTCTTCCATTTTCATTCTTCTACACCAATAACAATTTTCATCTTTTTATATATATTTAATTTGCATTTTAATAATGTTTTCTTCAAAAATCACTATACCTTATTGAATCTCTCATGAGAGTTCTTAGACTTTGTTTTGTCCTTTTATATTTTAGTGGAAACTAGAACCTCTTCTTCTCACCCCCACCATTTCAAAAATCCAGTGGTTAGATACCTTTTCCAAACACCTTTTATATCCACTTTTTCTATTGTCTCTCTTCCTTTCTACCTTTCTTCCTTTGTACATTTTTATCTATCACTTTATATCTAATGAAAACCCTTTTTATGTTTTTCTTTTAAGTCTCAATATACATACTAGCTTCTTTAGTACTACTAATTTTCTAATACTAACAAATCTTTCTTTTCCTCATCTTCTTCTTCATCCATGTGTCTATTATTCTTCTATTATTCTTATATATTTGCAAACAATTATTGTTGTTAATGAGAACGATAATAACAATAATGCACGGTAATTAATTTTATATTCGAGTTTGAGTATATTTTGTTTAGAGAAAATATGAGTTGACTGATGATAGTATCTGGCAGATACAAATAGGGTTTCTTATTGATGTTTCTATGTTTATATATATTTTTTTTTGTAGGGTTGAGAGTTTTATTGAGCATCAAGATGCTTGTAACATGGGAAGGATCCATAATTCAGAATCTCAACCATTACAAACACCAACTGCATGTTTATCAAGAACTGCTTCAAGTCCAAGTCCATCAAGTGAAACAAATTTCAACAATTGTCCATGGCAAACAAGGCTTCAAGTAATGCAAAATTCGATAAAAGAAAAACCGATATTCATGAACCCTATTATTACTCCAATTACTACTATTACGCCTTCTTCTCAAATAACTTTGTCCAAGAACAATAAACTTGTTCTCCATCCAAACTTGGAACTTCAACTCTCCACCACAAACAACGCCAACAACGCCAGTATGAGTCTGGCACCAGACACGCCTTCGATCAGAAGTATCAGTGCTACAGAGGCTATTCAGAAGGCTAACAGGTCAACGCAGTTGCATCTTGCAATAGGGTCATCAGAGATGAGTCATCACGAGAGAAATGAAACAAACTATTTTAGAAACAACTCATACTCATCGCCGAAAGAGAGTAGCAATAGCAATGAAAAGGTTCAATCAACAAACAACATGGCTTTGTTTAAGGTTCAAGAACAAACAAAGGAACAGCTAAGGATAGCCATGGCTGAAAAATCCTATGCTGAAGATGCAAGGAAACAAGCAAAGAAACAAATTGAAATGGCTGAACAAGAATTCAACAATGCAAAGAGAATCAGACAACAAGCACAAAGTGAACTTGACAAAGCTTACGGATTGAAACAACATGCAATAAGGAAAATCAATTCAACTATGCTTCAAATCACTTGTCAAGCTTGCAAACAACAGTTTCAACATGAAGATAACTCTTTGGTGTTCAGCTATGTTTCTTCTGCCATAACAACTGAAGGTGGTGAAGTAGAAAATGATGATGGAAAAGGCAAAAAAACTAACTAGATGTTAGATATATCATCATCATCTTCATCATTATATTATATATCTTTTCTATTGTCTTCTTTATATTTTTCCATCTCCACTTTTTTTTTCCTTAAGGCTAATTAATATCTTTGTGAATTGGTATACCTTGGTGAAGTAAGAGTAATATATATGTTGGTTATGTAAGTTGGGATTAATTAAATTAAGGGTGGAGAAAAAAAGAGTGTATTAATTCATGTAACTTTAGACAGTTTGTGAGGTTTTCATTGTTTATTAAATTTGTTATAAATTAATGCATACAATAATCATAAAAAGGGTTTCACTTATGATTTATATATTACATAATTATATTTTTTATTCATAGTTATAGTTAAGATATATTTTAAATATCAGTCGCATCATGATCTTTAATATTATAAAAATGTATATGAAATCATTATTTATATATATATAAAACCTAAATTACTATAAAAAAAATTATAATATTGCAGCATAAATTGTGATTATAAATATTTAAAAAAATAAAAATAATTTTAATTTTAATTTTTCATAAATTTTGGTTATAATTTGATAGTGAGTGATGATAAATAATGGTTAAAAATAATAAATGTAGGTGTTTTTTATGGGTTTGAAAATGCAATGAATAAGGGTGCAGAGAAAAACACAGAAAAATTTTCTACCTTAAAGTTTAGGTTATTTTGGATTATGTGTTTGGAGTATATGATAAGCATTAATTAAAGAAGAGAGGGTACTGACAAAAAAAAAAAAGAGAAAGAGAAATAGAAATAGAAAGAAATAGTGTGGTTGTTCCTTTTAGGTTCTGGCAAGATATAAATGTGAATAAAAAGCAATAAAATGCATGTTTTTCAGTGCCACTGTTGTCACAGACTCAGTCGTCACTTTCAAAGGCTTATAGAGAGACACAAACAAATCTATGATGATGATGATGAATTAACACACCTTCACTTATCTTTGCATCAGAATCAGGGCCATGGCAGAAGTGGGCGCAACAGAGGACCCAGAATTAAGACAGAAGAAAATTACAGCATCTTTTCCTTATTATGCAGAGACCATTCAAACATTATTCAACCACTCTTGTGTTACAAAAAAATATACATACTCACTACTATTTACTACTAACTCTTAATTAGTATATACCGTATACTATTATATTCTATATTATACGTCTGTAAATCATAACTCAATTGAAAAAAATGATGTTAACACTAGAATTCAAATAGTAATTCTATTATTTTTTCTTATAAAAAATAATACTATATTATAATCATATACCTAAATCGAAGAAATAATTAAGACTAGTTTAGTTAATTCTATATAAATTTCTATTTTCTGTTAGTAATATTTTGTGCTCGTGATTGTATTTTTTATTAATCTTTTAATTTATATATAATATTTTATTTACATTTGTGAAAATAATCTATTTAAATTTATTTAAATATCACATTTTCTCACATTATTTATGGTTTTTTAATTGTACTATCTTTTTTTTTTTAATTGTTAATGTTGTGACTACATTAATATAGATTAATCACTTAAAAATACTGAGATCTATTTAAGGAAAATAATTTACATCAAGAAAATAAAATTTTCTCAAAAAAATAAATTTGAAATCATTTTATTGGTGATTTATTATGTGTTTTATGTTATTTTTTGGAAAATAAAATGTGACTCTATTTAGCTTAAAAGATTAATTTCTACATTTCTGCTTGGAGGAACAAATATGAGTAATTACTAGTGTTTTATTTTATACTTAATGGAGATAGTTGATAACCCCTAGAATGATAGTGTAAATAAACTTTTTGAAACACTCTATTTTTATCTAACCTAGTTAAAGGTCACAAAGTAGTAGCATATTTATATATACTAGCACACTCTCTCCTCACACACACACATGCAAGATGTGCAACTGGATATTTGATTAGAAAAAGCTGTAAGTGAGAAAAGCCAAAGTCATGAGCAGGTTAATAAAGAGTCTTTATATATTTTATATAAGTTTCAAAATCAGTTATAAGCTTTTTCCCTTGGACCATGTGCTTCTTCTCTCTTGTTAATGTATCGTTGTAATTGCTAGGCTAGCCTCAGCACTTTTATCTGACCACCAATATTGATGTACAATTATTATGAAAGTGGAAGGTTTGCAGAATCAACTGCCTAAAGGGGTCCTTTTTGTAACTTGCCTTTGGATCATTCACACATTAAGTCTATAGTGTGGTGGGTGGGCTTAATAATCCAATTCTTGTATCAATGAATAAGTACTTTGGACCAACTCAAGTTGTTGAGGCTAGAATTAGGGTTAGACTCTTGTAATGTGATGATTAAGGTTGAAATATAGAAGCAATTGGTTGTAGCTTGGGGTTGGCTTTTTGACACATTAAGATGTGGTGGATAGCATCAAAGATATATTGATCTTAATTTATATTTAGAGGAAGGAAAAAATATAAATATGGGGAAAATATATTTATATTATGTTGATCTTAATTGAGTTATGATTTGTTCAATACATAACATAATTTACGGTTGGCTCTTTGACACATTAAGATGTGGTGGATAGCATCAAAGATATATTGATCTTAATTTAAATTTATATATTGAACAAATTAAAAATAAACCTACATATGAAATTTGTTCATAATAAATTTAATATATATATATATATATATATATATATATATATATATATATATATATATATATATATATATATATATATATATATATATATATATATATATATATATATATATATATATATATATATATATATATATATATATATATATATATATATATATATATATATATATATAATTTTAAATTTTTATGTAGGTTTATTTGTCATTTCATATAATGTATCTTATAAGCAAATTTAAAGTATGAATGTATTGTTAGTAAAAGAGTGAGATATAAATGATTACTTTAAATTTTTGGTGGTTATGACACTTAATATTATAGATTAAATATTGTTAAAATAATATATTTATCATAAAGAAATAATTTCTAAATTTTATTGTGGTTAGTTTTTGAAATTTTTATAATTAATTTGTGATTGTACCTTATCAGAAGGGATTATCAAAGTCTACAAACTTCAAGTCGAGCGATAGTTGAATGTGAAATGGGGGGTACCTGCAAGACACTCTGATGTCAATGTAAGGTTCAGAGCAAATCCAATCAAGTATGAGAATATGAGTGAGTGATTGAATATCTGACTCTATCAAATGAGAGAATATTTATAGCCCCCAGCGCTGGGTCAAAGTCTTCAGTGATGGGCCACGATGAGGCCCAACAACAAAGACTGTAAGGATTTACGGGCGTATGGGGTCCAGCACGTGGCCCCCTCCCTGGTCAACTGCCCCAAGAAAGCAGAAGTTGGACCCGTTATTATCGGAGGGAAGGATGATGATGATGATGATATGGACACGTGAGATACGTTCTCCTAGTGGACACGTGGGGAAATGCCCAACGGTCCTCAGCTTGGGTTGTATGCTTTTGGGCCTTTGATAAAGACGCTGGATTGGGCCTCCCCAATAGTGGGACAAGTGTCGACCCAATCCAGAGTAGGAGCCCCTCAAGTTATTGACCTTAGGTGAAAGGGTAATGACTTGAGTTCAGTTCAACGTCGGGGAAGCATCGCCCGAGAGGGGAAATTTCCAACCTCTGTCGGGGATGGCTCGTTGACTCATGTTGAGGATTCAGATAATATGTGTGCGGTATGGTCGACCAGCTCAGTGGGCACTCCATTGGTCGGCTTTGTTTCTAATATTGTCGGCTTAGTGCCCATTAGAAATATATAATCATGGGATGCGATGATTTTCCCTGAGTATGCGTCTTTGATGTGCTCATCTATAAGGCGTTGTTATGATATCGCATATTTGCCCGCCACTGAGTGTGAAACGTCATCGATGTGCCTGCATACAAATTTTTATAGTGATGCCGGGCATGAGCTCGTCGTCAAGAGTGGGCATGAGGTTTTGAGCGAGAATGTTGTGGGATTCCCTGTTTTCCCCTTATTTTTAAGTATGATGGCACACCAAGTCGAGAAATACGTCGTGCCCGAGACTCACGAGAATGATACTACTATCGCGAATGACCCTTTGGCTTGGGTCACGCCCGAGCCTCGGAATAAAAAGTCGTGTTTTTCACAAGACGCTTCTGACGCGTTCAATGTCCCCAAGGCCCAAGCAGAGGGTGCTCCTGTCAATTAGGCTTTTCAAATCCCTCACCGGAACAGGAGGATATGCTCGAAATACCCGGAAAAATATTTTTCTATGTATGAGTTTGCTTTTAAGTAAGCGGGGATGCGTTTTCCATTCAACGACTTCCAGGTGGGGGTTTTCCAATGGTTATAACTAGCACCTTCCCAGCTTCATCTGAATGCGCTCGCTTTCATGCGTGCGTTCGAGATTGTATGCCAATACCTTTAAATTGGTGCCATATTACCCCTCTTCTTCCACATATTTCACTTACAACGGCAGTCTATTGGAGGGCGACAAACCTGGGTGTCGTTCAAACAGCTCGAAAAATTTTTCCGACCGTATCTTGAATCTATTCGCCACTTCAAAGAGAGGTACTTCGTTGTGAATCCTCTTACAGATGCGGTTGTGGATTCTTTGTATGATCGTTCGAAAGAAATCAAGGGGGTCGGACAGTAGTCCGGATGAGGGGTAGGTTTTCTCTTGAGTGGTAGTAGAAATAATTCGAGCAGAAGTCCAAATATTACGCGGTGAAACTTGAGGACTTCGACGCCCAGGATCAACTTTCTTATGACAATCTGGTGGCTTATGTCAAGAGTTTCTCACTGGTGAAGTGTGTAGACGTGGATAACAACTTCCTTTTTGATGATAAAAGGGAGTATCTCCCCGTTCACAGACTAATTAATACAAAAGCGCTTCTCGAGTGCTCTCTAGACGAGGAGGCTATGAGACTTTTAGGTAGGGGATATGCCCATGATTTTGTTTTCTATGTTTGTCTTGTGATTGACAGTTTCTTTTTTTATTGTAGAT